TTCAACGAGTGCACTCACTCCCCACAATCTCCCATTTCCTGGCAGCAGGACACTTTCTAAATTCAGATCCAGCAATCTATACTCTTGCTCCCTGGACAATCCTTTCTCCTTCTCTCCCCCGCCCCCCTTCATTATACACATTGTTGTTTCAAATCCTCATTATTTTTAAACACAAAGTTCCATTGTCTTTCTCGTTGATGGCTCTTGAGGGCCGACCCAAGTGACTAGTACTGATTCCCTTCTCTTTAGGGATGTGACCAGCTCAGTTTTTAAACATTCCCTGGAAAGGAAGAATTTGCACACCACACCTCCCTCCTTCCCCCCAATGACAAACATTGGGGGGTTTGTTACACATTCCTTTTAAGGGAGTAAAACTTAGCGGAAAAAAACTGTTCTATGAAATCAAACTGGATGTTTTGATCCTGCTGTATTCTTGTAAACGTATAGCTTTGTAAATGATTTCAGGGGTTTCAGGCTTTACACACTGTATTAACTATTGCCGTATAATAAATTATCCCCAAACTTAGCTCAGAAAAATACACACTTATATTTCACATAATTTTAGTGGTTCAGGAGTCCAGGTGCAGTTTAGGTGGGTGGTTCTGGCTCAGGGTCTCTCATGAGCTTGTAGTGAAGATGTCAGCTGGAGTTGCAATCATCTGAAGGCTTGAAGATCTGCTATTAAGGTGGCTTATTCATGTGCCTGGCAAGTCAATGCTGGCTGTTGGCAGGAGGCTTCACTTCCTTGCCATGTGGATCCTTCCACAGGGCTGCATGAGTGTCTTCATGACACGGCAGCTGGATCCTCCAGAATTGGTAATCCAAGAGAGAATAAGGCAGATTCCGCAATGCCTTTCAGGATGCAGCCTCAAAAGTCATACATAGTTTTTCTGTACTATCTTACTGGTTATGCACATCAGCCCTATTTAGTGTGGGAGGGCACTAACCAAAAGTGTGAACACCAGAAGATGAGAATTGTTGGCTTAGAAGTTGACTATTGCATATGTCAAATTCTACATATTTCCTTTAATTCCCCAGCTTCATTTTATCTACATCAATGATTCATACACAATGAGTGCAAAAATATTAGTCTCATTTCGTTTAAAATAAGATTATAGAGTATTGCTATATGTGCTTCTTTTCTGTGTTAAAAAGCAGTATCTCGCCCCATCCTAGTTGTTTTTTTTTTTTAATGTTTTATTTATTTTTGAGAGTGAGAGGGTGTGTGCTCCTTTGGAGGACGGGGAGGGGGAGAACACAAGATCCAAAGCAGGCTCTGTGCTGACAGCTGCTCAAACTCAGGAACCATGAGATCATGACCTGAGCCGAAGTCAGATGCTTAACCACTGAGCCACCCAGGCACCCCATCCCATCCCAGTTTTAAGTAGGTGGTATCTTATTTGGTTCTAGAGTCCACAATTCTAGTGAGATATAGAAATTTATGAAATGGCTTATAGGAAAATCTGACAATCAATGATCTCACTAGAATTCAAAGGACTAGAACTACTGAACCTCATTTAGCTAAATCACATAATCTGTATGGTCATCTTAAGTTATCTCTTTGTTGTGGTTACTAATTATAGCATTTCACTGAACAAATGTTTAATACAGTATTAAATGGAACAAATAATAATTCACTGAGGATAATTACAACAGAAAAAATGTGGGGTAGAACCAAGAACAGTAGATGGGGAAGAGTCAGGAGGTTTTTTAGATGTAGTTCTGCTACTCCCTAGTTTTGTTACTTTAAGCAGGTTTCTTAAATTTTCCTATTTGTGAAATTCTGGAGTTAGACTAGAACTGGATGATCTCTAATTACGACTTTAGCTCCAGTAGTCTCTGAAATTACCTATGAAGCCACATCTATGTAATTATTCCCCATTCTTCTCTGCTTCTAAATCCATTTCACAGTTCTTCTCTAACAAGGTCCATTTTCTCTTTGTATTTTATTCTTCCAGCAATTATTCTGCATTCCTCCATAATCCTACGCTATCCTTTGCCAATTTATCCATTGACATGTCTACTTTCTTGGCTGTCCTTAATAGCACCCTGAATATATTGTCTCAAAACTGCATGTAGATAAGAACTCTGCAATTACGACGATGGACTCTGATTTTATCTATAGGGTTCATTTTGGTCCATATTGAACCTCACCCAAGCATATTCAATATATTTTCCTAAGAATGGCTGCTCTTAATCCTGATTTCTTTTTTACTTCAGTAACTATTGTTCTCAGTCATACAGCAATGAGCAAGGCAAACATGGAGTCCGGTTGTGTAGTTTCAACTTCTTTTCACCCACTTTTAGTATTCTGTCTACGTTTAAGTTGTAGAATTCCCGTGGGGCACCTGGGTGGCTCAGTTGGTTGAGCATCCGACTTTGGCTCAGGTCATGATCTCACCGTTTGTGAATTTAAGCCCCACATCTGACTCGTTTGCTGTCAGCACAGAGCCTGCCTTGGATCCTCTGTCCCCCACTCTCTCTCTGCCCCTCCCCTGCTTGCACTCTCTCTCACAAAAATAAATAAAACATTAAAAAAAAAAAGTTGTAGAATTCCCAGAAGTCACAAAAGTGTCTACAGCAGCCAGGCAATGAAAATGAGTGAGGCAGGAGAGCCATTAGTCCAGGAGAGACCAAACAAAGAGGCCCAGATCTCTCATGTTTTCCAGATAAATTAGAAATCTAGATTTTATTTTAAGTTTTAATTTACTTACTTGGAGAGAGAGAGAGCACGAGCAGGGACAAAGCAGAGAGAGAGGAGAGAAACAATCTCAAGCAGGTTCCACGCTGGCAGCACGGAGCCCCATGCAGGGCTTGATCTCACAAACCATGAGATCATGACCTGTGCCAAAATCCAGAGTTGGACACTTAACCAACTGAACCACCCAGGCACCCTGAAATCTAGATTTTAAAGTAAATCTCCTGCTTTACTGAATTTTGGGATCTACTTAAAAGACATTTGGAAAACTACCACGTGGGCCAAATGAAACATTTTTGCTGGCTGAATTTGGCCATTGATCTTTCCATTTAGGACCTCTGTGAGCCTAAGATCACTAGCAAGGCCAAATATCTTCATTTTTTTAAAAACTCATATGCCCCAACATTCCACATAGCTGGGCACTGATGACACATTCTTTCCTGTTATCTATGCCTTGTCTCTATGTCACTCTCCCCAATTCAATATCTTCTTTATTCCATCTTCCAACTTTTTCACGATTTCTTTTTACTCCTATCTTCTATTTCCAGTAAATCCAGGAAAAGGAGGAGCAAGATGAAAACTGAATTGCTGAAGTAAAAATTACTTCTGTCCATGTTAAAATGCATCTAAAAGCAGTTTGGAGGTCCAAAGGGAGAACCCTAATTCTGTCTAGTTAGGCATGCTGGGTAAAATGATCAAACTAAAAATCTTGGTTTGGGCTAGGACCAAAAAGAATAAAAATCAGCTCAGACTGAAATGAGAAAAAGCAGCAGGCAGTGCCTGGAGGGCAGACAAGCCAGCTGCAAAATTAACAGAGAACCTTGTTCTTCCCACAGCCATTCAGCAGCTGTAAAATGCTCTGTCCACCTCTCATACTGCTCTTTTACCAATGATGCCCAGGCTATCTTAGCTATTTAATAGCTATTATTAGCTATTTTTATTTTATTTATTACTGGGTGCACCCAATTAGTGAACAGCCCTCTCCTCATGACAGCATCCAATCCCTGGTTAATCCCCACTTTTCCAAATCCCACCTCACAAATAGCGTCCAATCCAGAACGGATTCCCGCTCTCCCCAGACCCTCCTGACTCCCTTTGGCGGGAACCTAAAACTTACAAAAGACACTTCATCCTCCAATTTCCTGGTTTCCACGCTTCCTCTGGAGTGCCCTTACTCCTGATTTACAAATAAATCTGATGTTAATCAGATGGCAGTCTTCTTCCCGGTGGTTCTTTGGCTGATTTGGCTTTAACAGGAAGCAAGTTAGTATCAGGATCATGTTTCATGATTTTTGCTAAATTTTCATCTCAGCAGTTAAGGTTTATACTTTTTAATAGCTACAAACAAAGATACATGCTTTCTCTAATGGTTCCATAAGCACATTTCTAGGAAGGAATTTCCCCTATCCCCATCATACAGTCCTCCAATATCTGTTTAAAAATGGCTTTAGTCATTTTATCCGGTTCAAATTTCGGCGATTTCAGTTTAAGTGACTTCGGTTCTGAATTCCTGGGTTACATTAAAAGGTAGCAGATGGGGGTTGTTGGGCTTTGAGGGTGTAAATTTTTTATGTAGTTACTGTTAGCTCAATGAGGACGGGCTGGATCATTTAAAAAAGGCTTCTGGAAGAGGAAGCCCCAAGCTTCACCCGTGTTTTTCCGGGCGACCCCGGAGGCACAAATTGCCGGATGACCTTTTTGAATGTAGAGGAAAGGGGTGCGTCTGTCTTCTTCGGGAACGATGCACATTTGGATTCAAGCCTGACAGCCCAAAACCTTGTACCTGGAGCCGGGTGATGGTTCCACCCTGGGTCTCTGGGAAGGAGTCCCGGGGGTCTCTGGACAGGGTGCTCTTGGGCGTGGGCCGCCTCGGCTGCCCAAGCCCCCAGTTCCCCGCTGCGCGGCGCCGGAGCTGTGTCTTGCTCCCGCGCCGCCTCCAGGTTTCCCGCGTTATTGACTCAGTCCCCCCTTGGCAGCCTCCCTCGAGCGGACTGTGGCGCACATCTGCCTCGTGCCGGGGGCCCGCCCCCGGGCTATGCTGCCCACGCCCAGAGCCTTCCGCCCGTCTGGTCCGGCGCAGTGCAGCAGAGCGCGCTCCCGCTCGGGGCCGGCCCGGCTCGCGCGCACGCGCGCTGGGACCCCCGCCCTCAGAGGGGAGTGGGGGCAGAGGGGGCGGTAACGGGGGAGGGGAAGGAGAAGGAGGAGGCGGCGGCCGCATCGCCTCCGGCGGGGCTCGAGCTCGCCCTCGCGCGTGCCCTCCGCCTCGCCCGAGCCCCGCGAGGGTGAAACGCTTTCTCCCGGCATGCAGCGGGAGGAGGGATTTAACACCAAGATGGCGGACGGCCCGGATGAGTACGATACCGAAGCGGGCTGTGTGCCCCTTCTCCATCCAGAGGTGAGGAACCGCGCCGAGCGCATTCCTCGCCCTTCGGGCCCCGACCGTTCTCCCCCGAACTTGCGGAGGGCTATGGCCTAACCGTGTGGGGGTAGTGGAACGTGCCGAAGTTGGGGAGGGCGGGGAGGCAAATCCAGGCCCTAGCGCGGCTGCGAGCGGATAACGGGGTGGAGATAGCGGGGCGGGCCTGGTCGGGGCGGGCTCTGGGACGCAGTCCCTGGCTGTGCCTAGAGGACAGAGGTGGAGATGTTGATGGTTCTGCTCTGTCGCCACGCTGCTCGCGGGTGCACAGGTGACGGGGGCCTAGTGCTGGCTTGGAACCGCAGCTTACGCCCCTAGTCCTGCTCCAAGCTTCTCGGGGGCGAGGACAGAGCGCGTCTGGTTTTGATTTCTTCTCATTTGCTTCGCTGTGGTGAATGGTGGTAGCTCTTCCTCCCATTTAGCTCATCACTGTGGGTAGTGCAGGGTAAGAACACAGTTTCTGTATAAAGTGATGTCCTTCCAGGTTATGCCATAGGCAGCACCTCGGGCACCTTGTGTCGGATGTCCTTATATGAGCGTTTGTCCTTATGCGATTAAGGAGAGAGGTCAAAACTTTTGGGAACAGAGCCACGCTTACACTAGCTTGTCAAAGTATGGGTTGTTTTGTTTTGTTTTTTTGGTTTTGTTTGTTTTTTGGAGCCAGGGGAAGACAGTGCAACACGTTTCCCATCACAACAGGAGTATCTTCCCGTGTAAGTAAACAGTGTCCCGCTCCAGGATCTGTCATATTCTGTACTTGTTTACTTCTTAATTTATAGCTGAGCTAGTGCTAGTTCAGTCCTGGAAGCAATTCGTGATGCATTCCAGTTTTCAGTGATTCACAGTTAGGTGTGGGTCAGGTAGCGGCAAAGCTTACTGAAGAACTGTAGTTTTTATGAGGTTAAGGGATGAAGACAACCTTTGTGTTGTAGTGAGGGGAACCAACATGGAAGTGTCTATCTGGTTACTTTACAGGAGAATGATTCTACTTGTTTCTGAACTTTGGGCTATATTGCATGCTTTTATTATTTAGTAAAATGTAAATAAAGATACACACTTAAACATGTTCTGTATTAATACTCAATCACCCTCTTACTCATCACTTTGCTTTACCACAAACAGATGGGACCGTTCCTTAGGAATATGCCTGAGCCACTGTCCATAGAAAAGGCTTCTCTGGATTTCTGAGAAACAGAGCTGTCCAGTAAAACTAAATATTTTTGTGACCAAGGTAGTAAGGTTTTTAGAACTGTCATTGGAGCTTAGGCCTGAAAAATATACCAAGAAACAAAGTAGTTTTCAGATGATGCATTGAAAATAGTGCTAAGGAATATTTATTATTCGTCTATTCCTGTGAAAGTTTCAAATACTTAAATATTGATTTTATGTATTTTAACATACTGTTCTCTTGGTAAACCTTTGCTTTGTAAAATAGTACATTGTTTGGTACTTTGGTAACAATCCAGAGAGAGATTGCTTGGTATAATGAAATGGCCTGTAGGCTTGAAATTTACAGACCAGTCTTCCGGGTGCCATGTAATAGAATGTTATTAGAAAATCGATTGAAAGTGGAAGTTGATATCGATATCTACCATTCCTTTTCACCTAGCAAACACAAAGTCTGATTAGATGTTATGAGTCTTAAGCTTAGACTTACAAGAGCTAAGGTCTTTCTGCATTTTTCCTGTGGTTAGTGTTGCGTGCATACCTGGTAAAGTTCTGCTTCCTTGCAGTATGTGCTCGGGCAAGCTACTTCTGAGTTCTAGCTTCATGGTTTATAATACTGGTTTGCAATAATAACTGATAGGCTATTGTGAGGATTGAGACGATGTATTCTTTTTTTGTTAAAATAAGCAGTGTTTTCACCTTCTTTTGGAAAGAAACCCATTCTCTGCCTTGGTAAGCAAATAAAAATGCTTTTAACTTCTTTTAGAAGAGAACATAGACCTTTGGTCAGACAGACTTAGGTTCCAATCTTTATTTGTAGTAATTAGCCAAGGGACCTGAGACAAGCACTTAATCTCTTTAGGTCCCAATTTGTTCATCAGAAATGGAGATGTGGGCTAGTTCACTTAGCTGTAAGGGATTAGGTGAAGCTGTACGTGTTGAGGATTAAGAATTGGCACATTGTAGGTGCTCAGTTAATGTTACTTCTTTTTCTTCTACCAGAAGAAGGAGGGAGATGTTACACATTTTGGTTTTGTTAAATGGTTTAGAGACTTGTGTGGACTTTAATTTATGGAATAGAATCTTGTAGGAACAAGTTTTATTTTACTTTTTATCTTAATTTAACACTGTGTCACAAAAATAGTTTCTCACTTAATATTTGTTGAACAGACGAATTATTATTTGTAGGATAAAGAAATAAGCCATTTCATAAACCTTCTGTTAGTATGCAAACTGTGCACTCTTAAAACCGTTCTCAAGGGATTACGTAATTAGATAAACAGTGAAACCTTTTTAGAGATATTTCCTGTGAGAGAACCTTTTTAATTAAGTGATCCATTCATTTAGTCAGTCTTTTAAACATTTGTTTATTTTGTTTGGGTCAGGTATTGTGCTGGACTCTTAAGACTTTGGGATTTTTGTGTTAAATTCAGTGAGAGACAGGATAGGGTTAAGAGCCACTGGTGATAAGCAGAATTTGGGTTTTGCCACTTGCTATTATCGTGGTTCATTTACATTTGTAAAATTGGGTCAGTATCTCTTAGAGTATTTATTGTGAGTATTAAGTAGTATAATAATGTTTTTAAGTGTTTATATAATGTTTAAATTTTTTTTTTTTCAACGTTTTTATTTATTTTTGGGACAGAGAGAGACAGAGCATGAACGGGGGAGGGGCAGAGAGAGAGGGAGACACAGAATCCGAAACAGGCTCCAGGCTCCGAGCCATCAGCCCAGAGCCTGACGCGGGGCTCGAACTCACGGACCGCGAGATCGTGACCTGGCTGAAGTCGGACGCTTAACCGACTGCGCCACCCAGGCGCCCCTATATAATGTTTATAAAGCAGTCATCCCAGACTGAGGCTGCCAAACAAATCTAACCTTCTGAAAGTCCTGGCATGTAGCGAATACTGGTGCTATTACTTTGTTTTCTGATGAAATAGGTGATTATTCATTTTATCATAATGGAAGAAATTAGAGGTTATTTGGGAAAAGATGAACTGATTATCATGGGATTAGGGTGCTAATCCTAACTCTTGACTTTAGGCTGTTGTACCTTTAACTACTCTTAGTTTTTTTGCTTTGAAGATAAAAGAGTTAGACTAGATGATCTCTTAAGATTTCTTTAAACTCTAATGTTGTGATTGTATGTTGTGAGTTTTCAGAATCAGTAGGTTTGAGCATCTACTACGTGCATAGCACTGTGCTAGGTTATATGGGTGAAAATAAAATAAATAGGATAGCTCCTGCTCTCCAGAGTTAGTGATCTAATTGGGAATATATACGCTGTTAAGTGTGAAACACTTAACAGAAGGCAAATAAGTGCTGAATTGAGTAGTGTAGCCTGCAAGCAGTGTCAGATTTCCATCATCTAGAATGGTTAGAAGAAAGACTTTAGCAGGGACATAGAGACCATATGTTGGTCTACAATCCAGCTGACTTGCTATCATCACTCTTCCGTTTCACCCGCTAGTATATCCTCAGTAAGCCTTCCTAACTCTTTCATAGAATGAGGCCACAATACCCCCCTTTGCCAGAGTATTATTATAGGGACTCTCTGTTTCAGCAAGATCTGACTCAGAGCTTTGAACTAGATTGCCTAGATTATCTAGGGCTTTCATCTCTTGTTTTCTTTTTTTCTCAATTTAAGAACTTCTGTCACTGCCTTTTCTTTAGTTTCTCTTTTTTAAATGGTATATATATGTTTTTTTTTTGCTTTACATTAATTTTGTCCATATTCATGTCTCATTTTTTTGTTTAAAATTTTAAGGCAAAATATTACTATGTCTCCTGCCTTCAGATTTAAAAAAAAAAAAATCTCTTTTTTGAAGTTTTCTTTAGTGAAAGTGATTTTGCCTTTTTCCGTTACTATTTTTTTGCCCTATCATGTAGTTAGAGATACATGTGTACACATAAGTAAATTAATTCATTTGCTTTCAGAAAGTAGATAGAAAATTTCTTTGAAAATTGCTTTTCTTCTTCTGTTGGGTTACCGGCACACGCTTTCCCTTTAAAGTATGTCTTTCTGGCCGTCTTTAGAATCTGATGCCTTTTTTTATTCGGGAGGAACGCTATAGGTCATGTAGTTGTAATTTAGATTTAAAAACACTGTACCTCAAGCATAGTAATCACTGAATCAATGTATATAAAATACAAATGCAACTGATTGGTGACCTCATAGATTGTGGCAAAGCCAAAGTTGCAAACTACTGACCTATAATTTAGCTGTGAGAAATTAAGCTGTGAGAAATGCCATTTTACAGTTTTGACTTCTTTGTTTTATTTTGCTCATTATTTTTATTTAGTTTGAGAGAATCATTCTAAAAATATTTAAGAACGGACTGTGGAGTGGATAGATATAAGATAGAGGTTAAAAGTGTGAGTACTAGTGTATGGCTGTTTGAGTTTAAATTCTAGTGTTGCCACTTACTAGCTATGTGACCCTGGGCAAGTTATTGAATTGTGTCCTAATTTTCCAGATTTAAATGAGAGTATAATAGCACCTACCTCATGAAGTTGTTGTGAAAGTTAAATGAGATAATATATGTAAAGTTCTGAGTCTGGTGCTTAATAACACGATACATGTTAGCTGTTAATGTTGTGGTAAGAAATTAGTAATTCTCAAGCAACAGTAGTATACATTATTATTGGGCATGGAGGCAACTAAGTAGGTAAGAAAATTAAAATTGGGGATTGAGGAGAGGATAGGCAGAGGACTCCATTTTAAGCCTTTTTTATATTATTTATTTATTTTTAAATGTGTGCTTTGATATGAGGAGTGTTTGTTGAGCATCTAAGTATGATCTTGATGCTTT